CGAAACGATAGATTATATAACAACAAAAAAACACGAGTACAACTAGACATCAGCTAGAATAAGCCCAACAGCTATCAAGCGGAATCTAGGAGGAGTACACACATGAGTGCATCCTGAACAAAGCCAACCTAAGACTCACAACAACTCCCACAAAAGATAATAAAACTACTACACAGAAGACTCAAAGCTCCTACCAAGGAGACTAAAACATCTACAAAGAGGACTAAAACTTCTACAAAGAAGACGCAAAGCTCCAACAAGGAGAATAGAACTGACACAAACCAACCTAAAACAACACAACACAAAAGGAAAATACAATACTAGAATAAACCCTTCCTCCAACCGGCAACTAACTGCGAAGCCACAGAGACAACACCCGGGGATAAAGGGCCACACGAATAGGAACCCAGCCCAAATATAGCTCCAAAAACTCCAGAGGTGGCTAACCCGGCTAGTTGAAACCACACCTCGACCAAATTCTCAACCCATGCGGACCACCCCGATCCAGCAACCGGAGGCAGCTTCTCCACTTCCCTCGCAACATCCAGGACTGCAACCACCAACACCTCCCAAAGCCCAGCAGCCCAACCCGATCCGACTTCCAAGCCCATGGAAGAACAGAAAACAAGGGAGAAGAAGACTAACCTCGACCCCGACGAACTCAAAAGAGCCGCCTGGAGCCAGCCACCCGACGCCACGAGACCCGCCTGAAGCTCACCGGACATAGTCGACCGACGCGGCGGCGAAGCACTACACCGGGGAGGGGCAGACGAGCTGTGGGCGATGAGCGACTCGGACTGGAGACGGCTGTCGCCGTGGCGTCGCGGAGAGCCCGGAAGGAGGGAGGCGGCGGCGATCTGAAATTAGGTTTCTACTGGAGATTTGGGGGAAAATAGATATTCAGAGAAATTGAAATTTGTCTTTTTGCAGTCTCTTCAATTTATTTATTACTATTTTTTTTTACTAGATTATTGGTGTTTTTTCCATTTATTTTTTCTCCTAAAATTTTACTTGGCAGAAGTAAAGTGAATCTTCATCAAGAATACTAAGAATAAGGTGAGCTTGGCTAGCATCTGCTTGGGTAAAAAGGAGAGTGTCATCAGCAAAGAAGAGATGAGTTAATGTAGGACCATTTCTGTAGAGTTTAAGGCCTTTAAAATTACTTAGATGACACTCAGATTTAATGAGCTGAGAGAGAATCTCAGAGATTAGAATGAATATGTAGGGGGGCAGTGGGTCCCCCTGTCTGATTCCTCTAGAAGATCTCACAAAACCATGAGGGGTGCCATTAAGGTTAAAAGAGGATGTAGGGAAGATATGCAAGCAATGATCCATTTACAAAGGAATGGTGAAAACCTAATCTAATCAAAGTATAATGAACACCAAGCCACTCCACCCTATCAAAGGCTTTGGACATGTCCAACTTAATGGTCATATAGCAAGTTTTGCCTTTTTTGAGTTTGTTAAGAAAATGAACAGCTTCTTGGGCAACTATAACATTGTCTAAAATCTGTCTATCCCTCACAAAAGCAGCTTGATTTTCTGAAATGCAATTAGGCAAACAAGGTTGGAGTCTAGTGGCTAAAATTTTTTAGATGATTTTATTAGTGATGCCACAAAGACTTATAGGTCTAAAGTGAGATATTCTCTCAGGTGCTGGAATCTTAGGAATAAGAGGCAATGCTCTGGGCAGAAAATCAACCTTCAGAAATCTTCCATCTTTTTCAGCAAAAATACCCCTCCTCATATTAAGAATCAAGTATGTGGCATCCTTCTAGGGATTTCTTCTCACAATTCTGTTAGATACTTGGGCCTTCCCTTGGGGATTGGTCAGTCTAAAGTCCAAACATTTCAATTTATTCAGGAAAATGTGAGCAATAAGATTGCTTCTTGGAAGAACAAATTTTTATCTCTGGCAGGTAAAGAGATTTTATTGAAATCAGTGCTCTCAGCTCTTCCATTTTATGCAATGTCATGTTTTCTGTTGCCTAAGACTATTTGCACCAAGATCTCTCAAAGCCTTGCAAGTTTCTGGTGGAAGAAGAAAACAGATCAGAGTAAAGCCATTCATTGGAAATCTTGGAATTACCTAACTCTCTGTTTGTAGTATTTTTGGGCAATTGGTAACCGAGTTACCCGGACTCGGGTCGTTCTCAAAGGAAGGCTATTCGGACACGGATTCAAACAACGATTGACTCACACAAGAAAATAAAATAAAATCCTAAACACTCTACTCGAGAGAAAACTAGAGAGAGAAAAGAGCAAAAACTAAAAAGGAAAATTTAGCAAAATGAGGAATTCTTCCAAATTACAAAGCAAGATGTCTATTTATAGCTACACCACAAACATACACTAAAACACACACATTTAATAAAGAAAACTCGCAGGTTATGGCAAACTCGCGGGCAAATGTGGAATTTCGCGAGCAACTTTCGCGGGCAAGGCAGCAGGCGTGGCGTGGCACTCACGAGCTACCAGCATTTCGCGCACGCGGAAGTGAAACTCGCGCGCTAGCTAGGCGGCACTCGCGGGGAAGGCCTTGTTCGCGGGCGCGAACGGCTGTTCGCGGGCAGCAGGGGTTAGAACTCGTGGGTTAGGGGGGATTCGCAGGCGCGAAAAGAAAACTCGCGGGCTAGGTCGCGAAATCGTTTTCGCGGGCTGGAAATGGTTCGATGGCCCTTTGATGTTCGATTCGCCATAACTTCGCGCACACTTATCCGATTGACTTGAAACTTTGACCCACGCTTTTCAAATCTCGTTCTCCTCGTCTTGAGATGCGCAAATTGATATCACCATGCAATTAATAATATGACCGAAACGGCTCGGAAATGGCCCGTGTGGCTCGAACATGGTTCGGACGACTCGAAAATGTCTCAGAAATGGCTCGTCTTCCCAAGATCGAATAATGTGGACCTAAACAACACAAAAAAGACAAGAAAAGTACGTCGAACCACAAAAACATGATACGAGAATAAAAATGCACGAAACACGATAAAATGGACCTGTCGACACTAAAACGAACCTAAAAACACTAAACTAAAACACATAAAACACACGAAAATAAGCACAAAAACACAATAAACAACTCCCCCACACTTAACTCTTTGCTTGTCCTCAAGCAAACAAAACAACAAGTAGCTCGAAAAGAAAAATCGAACGGTCCAACATTAACGAGCATGCGAAATGAGACTCTCATTATCTTCCGGTTATCCCTAAAATCAAAACCCAATCCGAAAACACGGTCCCCACATAGCAAATCCATACAAAACAAAAATCCATCCAGAGTTATTCTACACATGATCACTCGATTCACACTCCTTCGTCTACATACATGTGCAAAAACTATAATGATCTACTAAACATGAAGTGATAAGCACGAGACCAATAAGCCAACTCTCCTTCTTTTCTTTTTTTTTTTTCTTTTTTTTTTTATTCAATGAGCTACTTTTTCCAAATGAAAGTCGTTAGGACGATTATTACCTTGGTTTAACCTCGAGGTTTGTCCCCAAGTCTCCTAGGCCGGTTTCTCGTGCTCATTGACCCAATTTTTCTAGAAGACTAACCGAGCCAAGAGGAGCCTAATCCTTTCAACTCTCACGAACTCATTTTCGTGAGCTTCTTTTTCCAAACGAGGTTTCCAGACGAGATGATCTAGGTTTAACCCCGAGGGATTTCCCCGAGTTTCCTAAGCCGGTTTCCCGGGCCCATTATCCCAATCCACGAAGTAGCCCGGAATAAGAGGAGCCTAATCCGTACTTCCCCGTGAACTCACATTTTATTCCAATTTTTTTTTTCGAAGGGAGTGGCACACAAGAATACATCAATAATACAATAACATGAATATCAATAATCGTCAAGACGTACCACAAGTGCATAGATAACACGTTTACAATGATAATCGAACATAAGGAAAGCATGACTCAAGACAATCAATCGAGAACAAACAAGGGACAAAACAATTCCGTGAATCCACATGCGGGTTCCAATGTCAACGAAACATCATTTAACTTTAAGGAAACCGTCCAAGTCATCAAGTACATAAAGCATGAACGTTAATAATGAAACCAATCAATAATCTCGACTCACCACTTAGCTATCTCGACTCTTGAACAAACATTGAGCATCATGCGGGAGAGGTGACTCAAA